ACACCTGATGCATCAGTGGCTGGTCAGCTGGTGGACTCTCTCATATTAAGAACTTGAAGAAGTCGTGTCTCTTGTTTCGGTTTACTGATGATTCTACACAAACAAGCCCTCACATCTGTCATTCTAGGAATGGAAGTCTCTCATTTCCGTACAGCAGGAAGTTGAAGGAGGATTCTTTTTCTTTTCTCTTTTTCTTTTTTCATATACAAGACGTTACAGGAATATGATGTACAATACAATAATGCCGATTTTATTGTGTAAAACACATTGTTCATGATCAAGGATCAAGGATGTTGCCCCAAACTGTATTCTCTTCTTTTCTTTTGTTTTGTAAGTAATGCTCAATAAATAGAGCTGGAAAGATTATATTCACATTTGTTTAAAACAATAACATTAAGCCTGGGTAAAATACAAATTGCTCTACCTCAAAAGCACTGCCGTATGTTCGTTCTTTACTTTAAGTCATTAAGTGGAGAATATTATGGGGTTTTTTTTGTTTGTTTTTGAATGACATGATTTAACACTGTAACTTCTTATAGACAGGTTTGATTTGACATTAGCTAGAAAAAGTGACATTTTCATGGTATACTGTTCACCACCCTAAACATGAATATCAATTATTGTTATATGAGGTGACAGGATTGAGCTTCATACACACATAATACAGTAAAAATGAAAACACAGCCAAACATTCATGACCTGTAATTCAGATTGATGACAGCGTTACAAGTCACTGAGCACCAATTTAGATTATATTTGCAGTGGGAAATACACAGTTCCTGTCACACATGATTTTACACTCCATAATCAGATACATGTGCAGCGGAACACACCTCAGCAGCTCCACCAGCAGCAGCATCACCCCCTGGAGATGGATGGATGGAGATGGAAGGGCAGGTTTTTTTGGTCTGTCAGTGCTGCTTTGTCTTTGGTGGAGAGACATCAGTGGGAATGTGTCCACACAGAAGAGACCCTGGCAGGGGAGCTGGCACATGCGGTACAGTTGGTGACCTTTAGTGGTGGAAATAAAGCATGTGCTGTTAAAATCAAGGACGCACATTGTCACATCAAGTGGGGTTAAAGCTGAGCTGGCAAACTGCAACAGATGGGCAAATGCCTGGCATCTGGCACCGAGCAATTCAAGATGTAAAAGCTGCTGCAAAGATACAGGAGAGACCAGGATGTTGATAAGTTAACACGGGCCTCTTCTGTCAGTCTGCAGCCTGCAACAGTTTCACTGCAGCAACGTCAGAGCGAGTTCAATATGCAATAAAACACCGACGTTCAGTCAATGTTACATTCAGCAGGGGTAATGAGACTGTGGAGCCAGGAGAGGGAGGCGTCCTGTACAGTACACTACTGTACATATGGTGGCGCTCCCTGTGTGAATATAAATCCAGTACTTGTTGTGTTTACCTCTGCCTGCACCAGAATACGTCATCACACAAGATGTGTTCATGTAGAGCTGACATATGGGGTTTGTTTTTTTAGTTTTTTGTGAGCAGTTTTTTTCAATCCTCAATCAAACCCCCAAACACGAATGGAAACCTGTTAAAACTGGTGAAGCTTCTCATCAGATTTTCAATCAGATTTATTTTCTTTTACCAAAAGTGAAAGAAGATGAAAGAAAGTTGATTACAGTCTGAGGTCGGGGTCAGAACATTTCCTGCAGAATTCTCTGAAGAAACAGCCTGTAGAATATTTTAGACCTGAATTAAGAACACATTTTAGGTTTATGTGTTGGTATAGGATCTTGGAGTCTGGGGGCACCCTTTGGATGGGTCAGCAGTTTAAACAGTGTTAGTTTTTTGGTTCCCTGTTGGACGCATATGTCAAACAAACATGCTTCTTTTCATGGAATATGCTTACGCCTTGGAATATTTTAAAAGTAGAGCCTTTCATACAACAAAAATCTGTTTTTTTTCCATCCCCGCTGGTGCCATGTTTGAACCATGTCTCTGACTGGTTTCTTTCCCCAGCATTTACTGTCAGAATCTTAAAAGACCACATATCAAAAACCCAAACTACCCCTTAAAGCGGCAAATGTCATGTTCCTAAAGAGCAAGAAAGAAGCATTAATCAATTGTTTCTTTATGTGCATGTTCTTTGAAAAAAAAAGCCTTAGAGTTAAACAGAAATACTGTTTACTGAAAATGATCCAAGGATCAGTCCAAGAGCTGTGTGTCCAAGTTGTGGCTTGTGCGAGCCTGAAATGGACGGAGAGAGAACATCACAAGTCCCTGAGCCAGGGTTTCTCTGTCATCCTGCGATCCCTGCAGCTCGCTCTGGGGCCTGTTGGCAGTGGAAGTTACCAAAGCTTTCCACCTATAATGTCACATTGATTACACAGCAGGAGCAACAGAAGGGAGGCGAGTGATCATGTTCTCTCCCTGTCCTACTTCCTGCTTCACTTTCTTCTACTGATTCTTGTTGTTGCTCCTTCTTTTTTCTTTTCAGCAAAGTGAAATCCAAGCTTACCAACAGAAAACAACTAAGGGTATGACCATTGCCTTCCAACTGCCCAGAAGGCTTAACACATCTGTCAGAACCTTCAAGAAACAGTTGAAAGAGCGGTGGTTGCCATGGTAACACCACTGCCTTTTTGCCACCTGAAAGTTTCCCCGAGGCTGATGAAAGGAAAACACCTCTCACACTGCCATTAGTGTCATCTTTTGTCTCGATGGAGGGATATTTTACGAAATCAGCACCGTCAATCTGACTTTAAAACCAAAACTGTGAAGCCATAAGGTAGGATTTGTGACCTGATAATGAAACGTTTCTGTTTCTTTTTCATTGCGGTGTTCTTGTGAACTTTCTGCTGCAATGGCGAGGAAAAACATCGGCATGTGTCATTACAGTTCTTTGTTCTCCAAGTGAAATAAAAAGAAAAACAATTTCCTCAACAAGCAGCTAGAAGACAGTAGTGTTTTCTCTCTCCATGCTGCCACATCGCTAAGCTTTCATAGCAGGGTTGAAAAACAACACCTGGCACTACTCTACTGGGCCGACAACAGCAGTCTCCTGTGGTATGTATTTCTTCCTCTAATTGGTCCACCATCATCCTCTCCCCCTCCTCCCTCCCCCTGTACTCAGGATCTCGGTGGTTTTCCCTTCTCCAGTGAAGAGAGGGTGGGTAACTCAGTGCAGGGTAGGAGGACAGGATGACTGGGAGATTTTGGGAGTGGAGAACTCAGGGACATCCACAGGGTATAATTACCAGCAAATCTGTGCACACATAGTATTACAGTGTTGATGGGTTTTGTGTTCTAGTGTTTGTTATGAGGTGGCGGTGGCTGGTGCATGCTCATTAACACCTCTCACCTCTGATGCAGGAAGTGGCGAAGTAAACGGAGAATGAAAGAAATGCAGCCGTGAAAGTGTGAAAAAAAAAAACCACACACACACACACGAAACATCAGTGTGCGAAACAGTCAGACAGTGTTATGGAAAATCAAAAGATAATGTGATGCATTTTCAACATATTTTCAAACCTTGACACCAACAACACATGATTTACGCTGCAGTTTCTCCATTCACCCATTCATTCAACACGTCCACATGCTGTTGGATTATGTACTGTTTATATTCCAATGCCACCGACACAGCAGCGAGAGCACAATCTGAATGTCATGTTCCTGTAAAAGAACTTTTTCACCATAGGGATAGTGAAGGCAACGTCTTCGACTGGCGGATAACCTAATTAACATCTTACTTTTACTGTGTTTGAATGTGTTAATGCTAAATCAATTGTAAGGTTCTGATCAAAGCGTACATTGGTTCAACTCTAAGCCCATACGTTTTAGTGCTTCATTTCATATTATGGGATAATGTTCCACTATATTGTTAAGATTTGAACAAAATAGACCTGAAAGAAAATTGCCAATTTTTCAGCCACTGTGTGATAGCTGTTAAACATATGGCAAAATAGTCTTTTCCTCTGATGCAGTCATTCAGCTGCAAAATTGTGCAGCCTTTTGTGACCCTTGCCAACTGTCATTTGTTTACTCGAAATGCCAATCTTTAATTTAATTTCAGATCCTACAGCTGCTACTTCATCCCTGTGATAAGCAGAACAATTGGAGTAAAAATGTTGTAAAAAGTGTTTACATAATTTATGACCTGCAGCACACGTCTTTGGACAAGTGGTCAGACAAAGTCATCAGTCAAAGAAGGTAGACCAATTGCAGAGGTGACAAACCCAATCAGTCAAGGGGACGTAATTTAAAACACAGAGCCGAACAGCATCAACATTGTCTGGTACTGGCGATGCTTTAAGCAGAAATGAATAATTAGAACACGCAGCAAAGGACTTTACCTAATTGGAATGAACAACAACAGAAAATCAAATCTTTAACAACAAGCAAAATAAGAATATTGTAATACATAAAATGTAAGATATGTCAAAATAAAAAATGTATTTTATGCTAACTGTATATTTGATGAGATTTGGATATAGAGAAGTACAATTGTGAGTTACCCTCCACACTTACCTTATACACACACAGAAATTGGGGAAAAGCCACCACAGTATTGGTTTGACATTTCTAATAAATTGTCCATTTTTGGATTCAGATGACTGCAGCTCTTTTTTTCTGCCAGAGTCAAACATCTTTTTCTCAGAGTGGCCGGATGGTAAACTCAGGCTTTCTCTCCGGTGACTGCACTGTGCTGCTACAGCCTTTTTTTTAAATACATAGGAGAATAACACAGAATATACAGAGTCCACTTTCAAATCATAAAATGTGTTTTCACAGTCACTTTTATTCATTTATCTGTGGTTTGAATATAACTGATACCCCACAGTCTGTGGTTCCCTCCGTTTACAACTCTCTCCTGTTCCTTACTCTAAATTTTTCACTGGCACAGTATGTTTTGAATAAGCATTTTTTTATTATAGTGCTTGTGGCTCACCAGTAATCATGGGCTAGTGTCATGTGGACCACTGGTTTTAACAGTAAAATTAATTTACGTGAAACAATCCCGTTGGAGGCCCATGGATATTTAGTAGTCAGTATTATTACGTAAACATGAATTGCAGCGATTTCTTTAGGAGTTACTTGTAAAAAAGAACCCAGCGGTTAGGCAATAATAGTAATGGCAAAATTATTATTGCAAGCACAATGCCAGATTCACGATCACTACAGTGACTGTGAAAGAAGTTACACCTTCATATATTGTACACAGGGTTGCTGCTTTTTAATTTTATTATTTTATTATTTTAATGCTATTTTACATAAAACTATGCATTTTTGAGGTGTTTAATTAATAACTTAGTGTCATATTATTTTATGTCTTATGTTATTTTAATTTTATTATAATTTTATAAGAGATTCCTCTGAGCCCCTATTAATCACTGTCCTTTTAAACCCCAGCCTTCCCCTCTTTGGCAACCTAAATTGCACACAAATGTTTCCTGCACAAGGCCTTCTCTGCTGGCCTAAAACAGTATAATAACCAGTGACTTGTTTTTCCAATATATTTATCATAAATAATAAAACAATACAGAGTATTCTTTTTTATCCTACGTTCTCGTTCTCGTTCTTCTCAGCTTTTCACCTGGTTGCACTCCTAGTTAAGTTTTTTTTTTTTTTTTAAGCCAATCATATTGCGGCCTTATGTGTTGCCAGGTTGAAAGAAATCAGCCTTAAGGCTTTCGATTCGGCAGTTGTTCTGGGAACCTAAAATTAATGGCAATGGCGTTGTTTTTTAACCAACCAGATTTTGAGTTGGCATCAAACTGGCCTTCTACCTGGCCCACAGTTACGTTGGCGATTTAAGTGATTTGATTGGAAGGTCAAAGAACAAACAAAATCTAGCAGTGAAAGTGAAAGTAGCGATTTGCACGCTCTAAAATTTAGTTTTCTCTCTCGTCACTGCTTGGGTAAAGCAGACATTCTCAAAAACTTCTGCCATAAGGACGACAGGACAGACTGGACTTCAGCATTGGCATGGATGACGATAGAAAAGGACATGATGTTAGAATTGCAACATACGGATAATCTGCACAACGGAGTAATTGAACTAATTTTAAGGAAAGAGAGGAGAATGGATTTTGTGTACAACTAATAAGAGGTTTTGGTGAGTAAAGTGCGTCTTGTCTTGTCTTTTTTTTGTAATTGTAATTGTAGTATGTTATTATTTTTTGTTTTTGATTATTATTATCAGTTTGTCGCAGCTGTGTTTGAAATGTGCTTCGTGGGTTTGTTGTTTTAGTAATGCGTTATTATGGCTACATTTACAGTAGAATGTGAGTTATCTATGATATAACGGCTTGTTTCACTACATTTATGCATAATTAGAAGGTTTCTATGGAGATAATGAAGTAATTAAGATGTGGATTTGTTCAGGCAGCACGCCACTGAATTCCTAGGTGAAAATGCATAGTATGCCATTGCTGTGTACAATGTATGATGGTAGGTTGAGTTGTGAAGGTGATGTGAGAGTGAACAGTTTGCCCCATGACGACAAACATCCCACTAATCGTCTGCATAATCTTCAACAATAAAGAAAGTCTAAGTCTATAACGGCAACACAACTGAATCCAGTGTCCTTTTACTTTAGAGAAAGTATTAGGAGGCTTAAATAGCAGTTGTTCTTTAATGTTTCATTATTTCTTTTGTTTTTTATTTTTTAAATTGAAGTAATTACAGTATAGGGGTATGTTGTTCCATAATGCAATCATTGTAGTGAGGTCCTTCGCTCACACACTGATTGTGTAGTGGTTTCGCAGGGTTCTTAAAATGAACTGTTCAGTTGGAAACCCCAATTGTAGAGGAATGATCCACTGTCAACATATGCATCTGTCAAAGTATCATTTGTATCAAATAGTATTAGATTAAGCTGTCAGTATACTGTGAAATACATGCAGCTGACAACTTAGTGGTTCACCGAAAAATATATGAATGATTATATATGTTTATTATTATAGATTTCTACAAGGTCTCAGTAGAGACTGGAGACACACTGTAACCTTCAACGCCAACTTTTTAATTATTTTACCAGCAAATTAAGTTGTGAAAACATACTGGCTATTTTAATGACGACGGTTGTGCGTACTGTTTTTTAAGTAACAGAAGAATACTTCAGATTTATAAAGTTGTAAAAAAATCAAGCTGATAATTTAGTGTAAGTGTTTTAGAGGTTTTTGTGCAAAAAAAAACCCTGTGGTTTCCTAACTGATATCTACTTATAATGCTATTCTGATGGACCAATCATGATTTTTTTTAAACCACAGTCCACAGCATTTTTCAGGCACAGACTACATTTTCTTCTGTGCATTACAAAGAGGCTAACAAGAAGCACGTGTTCTCAGGAGCCACAGGCCAACAGTGGCACACTCGCCTTAGTTTAATGTCTTATGATGTCCATTAGAATATCCAATAATATTTAGAACGCATTTTGGATATTATTTGAAGGATACATTTTCTGGTATTCTAAGGCCAATCATCAAACCAATAATTTGGTCATGGTCTGGACACTATGCAAACTGATTGGTGCTGTTCTGCACAGTAATGGAACCTGCAGCTTTCATTATGGCTTTGCATGATTAATACAAGCAGCAGCGTGGGGACATCCCTGACCACAATTGATGGTATCTTACTGTTATCACTCTCATTGGTGTATTTCAGGGTAAGGGAGTCAGTTGAGGGCTGCAGATCGTCATCGATCTCACTTTCTGGACTTGAAAATCTAATTAGAGGCTGGCCAGGAGTCTGTGGGTGGCTATCACAGTCTCACTGCTGCACCTTCAGATGTCTGAATACACGCAGTAATTGTTTCACTAATTAATCAGACCTGATTCCAGGGACATGGTTGATGCAAATAATTCATTTAAATGAGGTGTCTGTTTTCTCTGAAATCTCTGAATATAGCCTGGTTGTTTTTAATCAAAGTCTTTCGTCAGTCATGTATTTGTGTGGAAATAATTGTTTGTCACTTGTGCAGGGAACAATTAAAGAAATGTACTGTGTGATGTTTAAGAGTGGTTTTGTGAAATGATGGAATGTGTGATGCAAAATTGTAGCTTTGTTTCCACCAAACTGCAGTGACTGTGAAAGTAAAAAAAAATAGAGCGTGATTATATTTTTGGCTTTATTTCAGGGGGGACAAATGACTCAGCCCCTTTTGACCCATGGCTTTTGTGGCTGATTTAAGTGATTGTGCCGATAGTGAATTTAATTAATGATGAGGGTTTTCAAATGTCATGTCGTTTCGTTTCTTATCCTCCGTGGTAGCTCTTCTTTGCACTGCTGTTTCTGCTGTAGTGCAAAATTACAACACTTCAAAGATAGTATAACTTTTAATATCCACTGGCTCCTTTTTCATGTCTGAGAAATTGTATCAGCAGGCGTATATGATTAAAAAAAAATCACTGTGTATGAAATGAATGTTTGAAGCTACAGTGCTGCTTCCACTGCACTATATGTTAATGTCTTTGCTTCTCGTGAGGTGAAGGAGCTTTGAAGCTAAAAATTGCATGCATATAACAAACGTGTGTCCTGTGAACATGTGACAATTTTAAGTCATTATTAATTATTTGATTACATCTCGGCTATAGATACCAATAGCAGGGGCTATACGTGTGCCCTAGAGTAGATGCGATTACTCGTGTTCCAGACCCGGATCAATATTTGACAAAGATGATCCTTTTTTTGTAGCACACAAATGGCAATAAATGGAAACGTGGATGTTTCTGTTTCTGTTTCCCAGATGTGGCAACAATCAAATATACAGGGAGGGGGTTTAAGAAAAGGTCTCCAAATTAGGGAAATAGGTTTTTGTCACCAGGAGTACACATTAATAGCATTGCATATTAGCCTGATATAGTTTTTAAACTGGTATCAGCATTGCTTACTGCAAGGACAAGTCTTTTTTCATTATGGAAATACTAATACTACAGGAAAGCAGCCCTTACCTGCTATAAAGTGGTCCATATATATGAGTGCTGCTATAGGTGGGGTTGGTCCACTGGGGCTGCATGGGTAAAATGATGGGTATGATCTGATGGTTGTTAAACAGTGTTAGGATCAAATCGTTAACATTTGTCTTTAATGAGCCTTATTCAAAGAGGCAGTAGTGTAAAAGGCTGTCACACACAATACAATAGTCACATGTACCACAGGAAGTCACACAATACACACAAAAAAGGAGTGTGGACATTAAAAGTAAAAATTATAAAATGCTTCTCCAATTATACACAGTTTTAGCTGAAGTACTTTCTGTATACCTGATGATAATTAATATGGCCTCATGTACACACAAAAAAACTAAAAGCTTCAATGGAATTAACACTTCAATGGAATTAACACTTAGTACAAAATGATGACTCATACCTAGAAAAAAACAAATGCTCCGTCTCTCTTAATACCTTTATGCTAGGCTATTATTTGCCACCTGTTTTTTTGTTGCCAGTGCCAGTGAACTCACCGTGGTTTTTGTCAGCTTTACATCTATTCCACTCTTTCATTTTCAGTGGGAACCTTGAATTTAGCTATTGTCTGCACTCTTTTTAGTGCTGTGAGCTGTATTGAATTTCACTACCATTCCAGCCACTTCAGCAGACCAATTGGCACACCCCTGCTTTTTTAAAGTTGCTGGCAGAGGCTCTGCAGTTCCATCATTGCATCTGTTCCTTCATAGTTTAGGCTTCAAACTCTTGCTGTGCTCCATGGGTGTTTTGAGCATCATTTTTGGCGTCAAGTGCAAAAACTTGATAAAAGCCTTTTTTTTTGCAACATCTGAGTCCCACATTTACAGTGACAACAAAGACCACCTGCTGATTATTCCTTTAAATGGTTTCCATTGGTAATGCAGGGCTGCAGTGGTACAGACAGGCCTGAGGTTAGCTATAAAAGTTCAGGTCTCTGTAGCTCTTGTCTGTACGAGCAGGTGGTGTGAATGAGGTGATGGCACTATAAAAGAACAATGTTTGTGTTTTGCTGATAGTGAAGGTCATCTACCACCTTCTGTACACTGGCATTGCCAACTGGAGGACAGGTTAAAGGTCATTTGGGTAGCAAGATAGGGTGCACAATAACAAGTACAGTATATTGCAGATTGATTTCCTTCCTTGTCGTTAAATCAGCCAGTAAGGCAGATAACACGATGGGAAGATATTGAAGAATGCTTTCACTGTTATTCAGTGGTCTGTCCAGCATGCCATAGTATTATTTTAGTGACAGTACGTTTATCCATGATGTCACAGCACCTTAGAGAGGACAGAAATATCCATGCAGAAAGACTAGGGAGTGACAAATGCGGTATTTTTAGGGAAATAGCTTTAATCTCTAAATTTGTGTCCTATTGCTATTTATAAGGTGTCTGCTCAGCACATTGCCCAATTATCTGAAAGCAAGAAGGTCACAAGTGTGGATGAGGTCTGCTGCAGATGACCCTTCTGTTTGGTCATCTCTATTGCAGGACCTTTGTTTTTCCTGGCCTGAAAATGCAGAGCAGGTCTAATGTTGTGTTTAAGTTGACAAGAGACATGTGTGTGTGTGTGTGTAATTGCTCAAAATGTGTACTAGAAGTGGCCATGTGATGAACTGGCAAACTGCCTCTACCACAGTTTCCGGCTGATGCAAACTGGGTTTGGTTCTATCGGCCCCTGAACAGCACACATATTCTTAATAATTAAATGTTCCACTTTACTGTTGAGATCTTACAGCAAGAGGAACCTTTCTCTCAACAGGATTCAGTGTAGAGTGGCTTAAATGCATGGCTGGCTTTTAGTCCCCTCTGCCCCCCGGGGGAAGGTTATTTCTTTGTTTCACAGTGACACCATAGCAACACGTACTGGTTTCTCATTCGAATTCCTTTTATCAGAAGTTCAGGGCTCATCACATTAGCAGACCTCAGTATTACTCTCTGTCTCTCACCCTGTGAATGGAATCAAGAGGTTCTCTTTTATAGTCTTGTTTTTCTTGCGACTGATCATGGAACCACAGGCATTGTTGCAGGTCAGGTGTGTTTACATCATGTGCTGTAAGTGGCAAATACATTTACCCAGAAGTACGATTATGTGATTATCACTCCGAATAATAAAACAGTAGACGTCCTTTAAGTCAAAGCAGAACATC